AACGACGCAAGATCGCCTGTTGGTAAACCGACATTGAAGAAGCTTAAATAGTTGAAACTGCCTAACCTCCAGCACCAACTTTATTCCTCTGACTTAGTTACTTCGGAGAAGAAGATGCCATCAAAATGCTTGTAGAGCAAGTGACAGTTGTTGAAAGCAATGGAGGCTATGCATTTGACAGTTAAATGTTTTATGTGAGTATGTAAGATTTTGATTTTAATTTTCTAGCCGGGCTCAAACGTATGCAATGATATAATAAAAAAGGCAAAAACCTCAGGGTCACCCACACCATTCTCAAATATAATCTCCAGTTTTTCTGTTCTAACTTTTTAGCATAACCTGAATTATCATATTGTAACTATTGTTCTGACAGTAGGTTTAAAGATTTCGCCTAAGCTTCTTGGCGAAGTATTAGCTTCATTCACTTGATCATAATTGGATAACCACATTCTTCTAAATACCTCAATAATGGGCTTAAACAACATCACTTCTGAAACAAGTATTCCGGGTGTGAATCACCTTTCACTGAACCCGCATGTGTACAACTAAGAAGCAGCTACCAACGTCTGGCACTATTATTTCTCACCTGAAGGTATTTCCTCGAGATCTGCAATAATGACGCATCTGTCAGGCGTAATGAAAAACTCAGCCTGTCTGGCCTTATCTTCATTCCCTGAGGCTGAAGACAGTCTTTCAGAAGGCAATCAGTTTCTATGAAATCTGTCGTTTTCAAAGAGTGTCTGTGACCTTTTGATCCACTCTCGTAATATTTAATTTATGTTTTATTCATTTTAAACTTTACTTCGAACATGAAAATATCTGAAAACTGAGAAATGACTAGGCAGATGTAAATTTTTGGTTGAGTGAATTGTATGCATGAAACTCATAGTTCGAAATTTTCTTTAAGGTCAGCAGAGGTATACTGAAATAAATTAGCATCAAATCAATATTTATATGCTATAGAAAGCATATGGGCTTGTGGGTGAAAGTGTGAATATTTGAAACGCTATAATAAATATTATGCGATATTCTCAGTTTCGATTCTATATTTATATGTACACGCACGCATATATGTATGCATATAATTACGCATGAATACGTACACACACGCACACACTTATACACTGACACGCAGATTCGAGCATGCTCTTTAATTTTTGTCATCGCTATGATTGACAACAACTGAGTTGTTTTTGTAGTTTAAATATATATTGGCATTTATATTTAGATAAAAAGAGACTCTTGAAATACATACCTTTTTAAAGAATCAGGGATGACTTCAACACTTTTTTACCTGCAATCTGAATAACTGTTGCACACCTCCAGAGTGAGGTCATTGCGCTTTTTCAAACTATTTTTATCCGCTGAGATGAAGGTAAATGATGATATTGAACCATTTACTATGTCTGCTGCTAAGAATGTTGATTCCCACTGTCGGGCTAGACAATTGTTCTCGCCAGAATCTGTCTTACATAAATATGTTGACTATTCATCCTTGCAGGGAATATTGCCGCCAGATCCGGCCTGATGTTCCTGCAGTATATTTAGAGATTCTTGATAAAGTCCGAAGAAGAATCTGTAATGTTATTGATCCAGACTTAGTATCTCGATTTCAGTCACTGCCCCACCGTCTTAGTCTTTTTTTTTCTTTCCTGTGCCATTTCTATAGATATATTCCTGATAATTGCTGTCGTATCTAAACATTATGTATTTAAGCGCAGTACTAGATTGGCGGCAAGGTCCCATTATAGTACAATTGAAATGAGTAGAGCTAACCGTAAGTTCTTTGCTAATTGTTCTATCACACTTGTTGTTTCTGGAACTCTTTTCCAGATTTTTGCTTTTCATTCAAATTTGAACTACAAAATTTTAAATGCAATGCCAATCGCTATCTACTGTCTTTTTAATCCATTGTCTTTTATTGGTCTATCTTCTTAACGGTGATTTTTATTATCATATTCTCTGAAACCCCTTAAGCCTGAGTGAATGTTCTGTCTAGGGGTGAAATTATTAAAAAAAATGTATATAGATATGTATTGGTTCGTGACTGTGTTGTTATATGTATCGCTTTCCGATAATGAGCTCCCGATTCGAATCTTGATTCTGGTCGATTTGTTATATCTCAATTTCTTGATGTAATCAGTATTGAAAAGCGGTCTTGTGCGGCGCTTTTACAAAGTAACTACAAACTTGAGTGAAAAATTGGTTAGAGAAAGAAATAATTTAGAAGCCGTTGGTGTTAGTTCTGGTGCTACACCAATACTAAAAATTATCGTGAGTGAAGGCTTGAACGTACTGCCACTGTTCAAACAGGTGACCTAAACTATAAATAAAACGGGCCCAGCTTAGCAACAGCCTAAACCCTACGTAGGCGTTGAACAAGTAAAAAATGTACTTGTGCAATTATAACAGGGTTTCGTTGATCGAAAAATAAACAAGCAAACCACATATATATATATATATATATATATATATATATATATATATATATATATATATATATATATATATATATATATATATATATATATATATATATATATATATATATATATATATATATATATATATATATATATATATATATATATATATATATATATGGGTGGGGTGGAATCTCGACGTGGTGTAACCTTAGAAAGCTTGTCTTACTAAATCAATTACGACTGAGTAGTGGGTTCGATCCTCGCTGGGTACCCCCAGACTTTCGGCCTTGTGCCACATCTAAGCCGGGCTTAGAAAATCGCTATATATATGCGTGTGTGTTTGTGTGTATGTTTATTGTAAATCCCTCCTGGAATTGTTTCTGTGAAACTTCATTTTCAATAGTGTTGTCCTAATAAATTACAGGAAGGATTATAATCTGTTATTGATATACGAGTCCATGTATTTTTTGCACTTTGAAATCGACTCGCCAATATATAATTCAGCGCTAGTATTCACTACACTACACAACCACTAATGTACATATTGTATACGCATTTGTTTTCAGCAGCCATAAATAATTCTCAGTATCTATTTTTGTGTTTATGCCACTATGTCTAGATAAATAGCTAATGTTCGCGTAGATTGATCAACTGAGGCTTAGCTCAGTCAGAGTAGAAATTATACTGTTATTGTAATAGGAAATTATGTTTTCATTTTCCTAGTGTGAACTTCTAAATTGCTACAATGGTGCCATGTAACTAGAGGCATTTAATTGCTATACTCCTGATATGCAGTAAATTATTTTTAAGAAACGGGTGACTGGCAATATAAAATTAATATTGCTGGCTCTTTCCTAACGATCACCTGTAAAATGTGATTTTACTGAGATCTAAAGCTTTCTCCTGTGTCTAGTTACATTCAACTGTTGCAACCTGATAGGAGGCACCGTGGAGTAATAGATAGCGGCTTGGAGAGCCGAGTTCGAATTCCAGTGAGATCCATTGCAATCACTTATGTGTTAATACCCTTGGAAAAAGGTATTAACCCTCTTCCTCTTCTCTAGCTATGGGTAAATAATAGAACAGGCTGGGTTCTACAGCCTTGGTCAAGGAGAAGTAACTCTGAATTGAAAAATAGTCCTGGAGAGGTTTGGGCGTCCTCCAGGCTATCTTACCTTAGAGACACCAGTTCTACTGTGGCTGCATGACATTTGATGAAACTACGACCCTGATTGGTCACGGAGTTCGCGGGTGCAGCCTGATATACGGTAACTTAAAGAACCCAAACATCAAAGACAAGATACGTCTCGTCTGAATGTGAATCATAGTAGTCTTCTTTCGTGGCGAAAGAATTGTCAAAATAAACTTCAGTGTAGATAAATTTTAAACACTAATACGTGCTATATCTTCTTTTTTTATTTACATATATTTTATTGGCTTACTTATTTGAATGAAAGTTCAAGGTGTAAACTAAGAGGTCCCCTCTGCATCATGAAAAACCGTTTCATAATCTTCGAATGGCCCACTTCAGTTTTAATAATTTCTTCATTATCTATCTATCTATCTATCTATCTATCTATCTATATATATATATATATATATATATATATATATATATGTATATATACATATATATATATATATATATATATATATATATATATATGTGTGTGTGTACGCTTGTGTACGCTTGTGTGCGCTTCTGTGTGTGTTTGCAAATATCTAGAAAAATAGGAAAAGAGTACATTAGGTAATAAACACGAAGTTCTTTAGTAATTGTGTTTTATTAAAAAAAAACAGTGCTCAATACATAATTAGAGCCTAGATTATAATTACAATATGTGTGTTTATATATATATATATATATATATATATATATATATATATATATATATATATATATGTGTGTGTGTGTGTGCATGTGTGTGTGTTTGTGTGTGTGCGTGCGTATTTTTAGAAAGTTCAACGAAGAGGTACAAGTTTGTCATACAAATTTTAACGTTAACATTTACCGAATATACTTTGAAGATGGAATATTCTAAAATCAACTTTAGCACTATTACTGTGTGACAAAACCTCTGGACGTGCGTATTCTCTGAAAACCTATCGATATGAAGAGTCAGTTCAGTCAGCATTGATTGATCTCATATAGAAACGATTAGATAAAATGTCTACAGAAACATTACCATAGTCTTTCACATTTGAACAGACTGTGTGCTAATAGCCACATATAGAAACACTCATGAAATATAAGGTACAAAAATATTGTAAATAAATAGAGAATATGGTGTATAAAATATTCAAAGGAAATGCTGCTTCGAAATTCAGTGAAAAATGCTCGTAAACTGTTTTGGAATAAAAATGGACTCAAAAGTAAAGAATGAACAATAGTAATATATGTCTAAGAATAATTTCGAGGAATACACTGTAAAAGGAGAAGGACGATTTTTCAGATAACTAGAAGAATTTAGGATATTCCTTGTCATACGGAAGGGAGTTTAAGAAATTATTTGCATGGTTTATAGTTGTATCGAATTTTTATCACTATTTGGTTACGACATTTTTACTTTACAGGACAAAGCCCCTATCTATCTATCTATCTATCTATCTATCTATCTATCTATCTATCTATCTATCTCATCATTCTTTCTGTCTCTCTCTCTCTCTCTCTCTATATATATATATATATATATATATATATATATATATGTGTGTGTGTGTGTGTGTGTGTGTGTGTGTGTGTGTATGTGTGTGTGTGTGTGTGAATGCACTTTAAAAAATTTATAAATTTATTTGTATTTGCGATAGAAATAATTTGTAAAAAGAATTAGAAAGAAGTAAATCTGTATCTGTTAAGGTTTTATTGAAATATTTTTGTCTGTCTATATTTCTGTCTGAGTGTCTGTTTATCTATCTATTTATCTATCTGACTCTTTGCCTATATATCCATCTGTTTGTCTATCAATCTAACTATATGTCTTTCTATCTATTATGTTAATAAGAAAGGATTTTGTAAAAGATTTTATCTACTTCTGTGAAAATAGCATTTCAGTAGACTTATAGATATTAACAATTTCATTATGATATGAAATATATTTTTGTTGTATATACTTGGATCGCTTAAAAACTTTGCAAATTCTACTTCCAAGAAGTATCTACCGCGTGATATCACAATCTCGAAAAAGCATTGCAAATTCATATCAAGGACTGATCTGCATAAAATAGTTATTTTACACAATTAATATATGTCCAACATAATATGCTTCATTGTGAGATTACGCCATTCAATTGCTGATTTTCAACCAATCGAATAAATACTTTACGATAAATCATTCCGATAAAATTGATCTTAAAATACATCTTTCCGCATCTGATTTATTGATCGATATTCATTTGATTTGACATACAAAAATTATGGCAATCAAATACAAAATAAAGATATACAATAAATAATGATTAAGATAGTTTTCGAAATATTCTCTAATTCAAAGTTTAATTGTTTGACATTCTTTAAACACGGGGAATATAATTTACAGAATAATGAGTCGAAAACAAATAGTTTATAGAAACGAACATTGATTTAAAACGAGAAAGCATTCATTTTATTAGCAGTTTAATTAGCAGAGGAATTATTGTAAATTCCCTCTATTTCTATATAATATCCATTTACCACATAAAATTGTCCGCTTCTGCTCCTAGTCAAACACTTAGGAACATTACACTCCGCTATGGCACCATCTCAATAAAACACAAATGATAACATTGTCTGTTATTTTCTCATTCATTGCAATAACATTTAGAATTCAGAACACACGCAAGGATCACATACAAAGTCGCATTGAAATGTCACACTTCAGAATATTTTTCATCGTCATCATCATCATCGTCATCATCATCATCGTCATCATCATCATCGCATTAACTTTTGTAATTAGCAGGGATCCGAATGCAGAAGACACACTAAATCTCCTCCACGTCGGTCTCTCAACGTCAGGCATCAGCAATTCTGATATAGTCATGCCTGTCCATTGTTTGGCAATGTCCAAAGTTTTTACGTTGGCGTCCTCTCCTATGTCCAGCAACAACGGTGCCTTCCATAATGGTATTACACAGGTTGTCTTGAAAATGTCTCCAAAACACTCAATATTTCTCCATCTGACAGTGCTGAGAACAGATTCTTGGTGTCCCACTAAAATTTCAACCTTTTTCCGCACAAAGTCATTGGTTTTATACTCCCAATAGAAGATACCAAATAGTTTTCCCATGCCTTTGTTCGCAAACGCTTGGATTTCTCTCTCTGTATCTTCCAACAGTGTCCACGTTTCCCATCCATATAGGAGAATGGAGATTACCTGTAATTTGTAGAGTGTATATTTCGTTTGAAATCTGACTTTGCCCCTTCAGGTTCTTGCCAATTTGGCCATCACTACCATGGCTGCGACAATCCGTGTGCGGATTTCCGAGTTGCAGGTACCATCTTTAGAGAAGATTGCTCCCAAATATTTAAATCTGAACATTTCCTCCAGTGAATTTCCATTAATGGTAACGTTGACACCATGTGTTACTCTTTGCTCAATTAACCATTATTTTGCATTTCTCGAAGATGACCTCCATTACATATGCCCCTGCTCTTTCAAAACTTTTTTGGTCAAATTCTGGCGATCACTGTTACTACCTGCTATGAGGTCAATGTTTTTTGTTTGTTTTTTCAAAACGTAGGTTACAGATTGAAGGATGATGGTCGTTCAAATATTCTTACGTGATTCTCTCTGGAAATTTGATTTCAAGAAAGCATTTTATGATGTATGGCATGGGGATCTTTGGCAAATCCTTAGGGAATTCAATGAAGATAACGGAATTATCCAAGTCATCAAGGCACTATATAAATATGACACCAGCTCAGTTCTAGGAAAAACAATGCGAGGATTTTTTCGGAAAACTGTCGGCGTGAGACAGTGATGTGTACTTTCAACCACATTGTTCCACCTCTTTCTAGAAGAATATGGTGTGGCACCATTTACCGAGGCAAAAAAGAAAAGAAAGGAAAGAGAGGAAGGAAAGAAAGGAAAAGAGAGGCGAGACCCAAACGTGGGTGATAAGTAGGACACCCACAACAATGAATATAGGATATTTTGATAAGTAGCAAATGGCAAAAACTGTCATTACAATGGCAGAAAAATTCTAAGTGGATAAAGGAATCGTTGTGTTCTGGTGACGAGCTGTGTTATCGGGGATACATAAACAAACCGCTAATGCGGGAAAACACCTGATTAAGCAAACCACAGACCGACTAGCCAAAGAAAAATCCAATTGAAAATGTTATTTTGATAATTGACAGAAACAGGTGAACTACAAGGCTTTGGATAGATATGAAAAATTAATTGTGTCAAAGCCGCACACGAGGTGGCGACTGACCGTTTTTCTTTTGACAAGACATCTTTGGTTGCGATAATAAAACTATGTTATAAGAAATGTTTTTTTTTTCGAGGTGACGGACGATTGTGTTGTGTCAAATAGACCACTCATTCTGATAATTAGCGATAATCTGACTGACGAAGTCCAGGTGAGAACAAGAGTTATGACCACCACCGATCGCATTGTTCTATTTGCAGCCAGAGAAAATTAGAACTGCGATTAAAAGAAAGAAAAGGAAAAGAAAAAGATTTTTTTTTCTTTTAAAAAAGCAAGATATTTTTTTCCCTGAAACAAAGCCCGCGGGATCGCACACGCCCGGATGGATATCATTGGCCGAGTGGTGATCACGTGACACAAGGAGGAAGCTGTCGCCGCCCACCTAGAGGATGGGTATGAGAGGTTGCTACGAAGCAGTGGGGAGGGCAGTTCACGCCCCTCTGAAGTATGGTGAGAAGGTGGGAGTTAAGAGAAGGCTCCCAAAAAAATGGAAAAAAGTGGAAATTCCTAACCAAAAATAAAAGAAGTGGATAGGTATTTAGAATTATCGAGGAACCCCCGGCGCCGACAAACCCACCCCGGTTTTGGTCGGCGTCCATATAAGCGAAGTCGCAGCGAGCGAAAATCAGTTCGAGTTTGAGTTCCAGAGTTGAGTTCGGGAGAGACAGTTCCCAGAGTCAGTCTCCAGTGCTCAGTTGAAGCAAGCCTCACACCGGCTGACCAAGATTCGCGCAATTTTCGGACTCATCTTCAATCCAAGAACAATTATTTGGAAAAGCGACTTAGATCCAGACCACCAAATTAAGTTTTTTTTCGACTTTCGCCCGAAGACACACCGAAAAACCAATTTCTTAAAGAGCAAACAACTTGAGATGTTAAAACTCGCCTAACGGAAAACAACGTGTCACAATCCATAGAACGGGTTGGGAGTTAGACGCAGTCCTATGTATCCAACAACTAAACATAAAGTTTGTTATCCTTTTCTTTGATACCTTGAACTTTTGAGTTATCATTTTATTTCTTTTATACGTATTTGTGCGATACAACCCCCGCTTGGACCCAACTTGCATTGCGGCCCCAACGACTGATTGATTTCATCTGCCTAAGATCGATTCACAACGTGGGTGGGCGGACTGGAGATCAACGCAGTTACTTTGGTAACCAGGCGTTGGAAGCGAGTTGGGAACGACGAGGCTGATATCGAATCTAACCAGATTCCCATCCGAATCACCAAAAGGTTAGAACGTCACATTTGGGTGCCGCGACCGATACTAAGCCAGTTGGTCGTCACAGGACGAGACAGCACGACTGACGCGACAGGCTGACGCCATGTTTGGAGCGGCGACACCCGAACGAAGCAGCGAGGAGCGAGCGAAGGCTGTGTTTAGGGACGTCACAATGGTTATATATCGTAAATGTCAAACGCCACCTATTTAAACACACCACGTTATTTTTATTCTGTTGCAATGTTTTATTAAATTTTAAGATTATTATTTATACCTTCAGTTAGAATATATCTATCATCAGCTACCATATTCTGCTTGTTCTTGCAAAATTACTTTTTTAAATTTTAAAAACCTTCAAATAATTACTGACCTATTTTAAATTTGACAATTCTTCGTTTGTCTTCATTAATAAGTCGATACTTTTGTATTTATCGTATTATTTGACATCAGTTTTTTCACAATTCCTCATGGGATCATGGGCATCATATGCACTGTGAACGTTGCGCTAGTCATGGTAAATTTCGAAACTTATCTTAAATGTTGCACAGGACTAAAAGTATGGGGCGCACAATGTGGATCCTACTCACTGTTCAGTCGTAATTGTTTTAGCGATATAAACTTGGTAGCCATTATACCACGTAGAAGTGACCATGTAGCAGAAATGATGGTAATTTTATAAAGTAGCTTAGATGTGGCACAAGGCCGAACTTATAGGGTACCCTTTGAGAATAGATCTCATTATTCAGTCGTAATTCTTCTAGCGAGATAAGCTCGGTAGCCATTATACCACGTGGAAGTACCCACGTAGTAGAAATGTTTGTGAATTTATAAAGTAGCTTAGATGTAGGACAAGGCCGAACGTATAGGGTACCCAGTCAGAATAGAACTCACTATTCAGCCGTAATTCTTCTATCGAGATAAGCTTGTTAGCTATTAGTCCACTTGGAAGTGAACACGTTGCAGAAACGATATGTCTAGGACAAGAGAGCCTGAAATGGTTTATCTTTCCTTAGACTGGTTTTGGATTATGGAATTTTCATTCTCCTCGACTGCTTTCCGCCTAAGGCTAGATTTCTATGTTCACTCTGTAATTAACCAGAAGGATGGCGAGGCTGGTAAAAATAGATGCTACATTTCCATCGTTACATTTCTGTCGCAAACGAAAACGGCTTCGATTGAAGTTTGAACTCGGTATGCTATCCCCACTTTTCGTGCTTATGGGCTACGCGGACATTGCATTTAGCGTAACCTACATTCTTTATTCTTGGCCTCTCTTGTTCGCAATACAATTTAATTAAATATACTGGTTTTACAGCAATATAAATAATTAACGTCTTTGTGTGTTTGCCAGTGTGTTGCCGGCATTCTCGGATATAATACATTACGTAGGATTGGCCTGCTGAATAAGAATTTATGAAATTCCTATCGTTACTAGGACTCAATCTGTGAAGCCAAGAAAATTACTTTAACTCGAATACTGATATTCTCTCCAAGAACATCGCCTTATCCTGAAAAGTGACAGAACAGTGTTCCTTGTCACATTTCAGCAAACCCCGCGCATTTGTATTTGTGTCATAATTAATTAAACTTAGTTAAGCTACATTGGTTGAATAAGAAAATGATTTGTGAGACATTGGTATATATCTATATATCTCCCTTGTGCATATATTGAATAATTGCATGGTCCTCATCCTAAGTATATTTGCGCATTTCCGTTACTAGAGAGCGATTAATTTTCGCATGTTGATTTTCTTAGTAGAAAGTTACAAACAACTGCAATGACTGACGCAGTGAAATATTTCTGATACAGATCGCCCCAAGAAATACCTGACGCCTTCTGACATTTTTTTTATCATTAAAAGAGTCAGACTAGGCCGCAGAAGATCTATTGCTGTCATATTTTGACGGGGACTTCATAAGTTGTCCTTAATATTCAGACTAATGCCACCTGGTTAAAAACGGTTTCAAGTACTCAACATTAAGGCAATGTCCTCTAAATCTCCAGATGTTAATCTTTTGCATAGCCCACATTGCTCCGCCAAAAGCGGCCGTTAGGTGGAGACTGTAAAAAAGACAGACATTTACTACATCATTCACTTTCTTCCTCTTTCCGAACTTGATAAAATCTCAATATCGCTTACTCGGCTTTATGAGCCATGGAATGCTTTCCACCACAACTGCTTGTACCACAAGCAAAACATAGCCGAACATGGAACATTTTTAAAGAGTTCCATTCTTCAATGTCAACAATGCATACCTTTGCAACTTAAAGAGAAATGCTACTTTTACGCAGTTGAAGAACATGCATTTCACTCGCATTCCAAATGTAACATCGAAGTTCTATTAAGACTGTTCTTTCCAAAGAATTGCCATTTTCGGGAACCGACCACTGATCTTGGTGCTACCCAGATCATTTTAAACTTATGTATTTTCAGCATATCTTCATAATCTCAAATTTCTACCATCCTGTCTTCCATTTATAACAAACACCTAATTTGTCACTAATATTTCGGCAGTATGTTTCTGACTTGAGTGTTTTCCGAGACATGTACTGTGTAAATGTTTCGAAAATATAATTTGATTTTGTTCTTTAGTAAACAGCATTCTATTTTCAGAATCACATTTAACAATACATTTAGCTACACTATATTATTCATGTAAAGACATATTTACTGGATAATATTCAAGCAATATTATAAGTCTAAAGAAGCAGATGTTCCTCAATAACGAGGTAATTATGCAATGTTAATTTAACATCATAATAGCGGATTTCAATAGAAACGATTCTTCTTCTTCTTCTTCTCTCCTTCTTCTTCTTCTTCTTCTTCTTCTTCTTCTTCTTCTTCTTCTATGTGTAGTATCCCTTCACGGCGTGTGCGATCATGGCTCTGGTTTTCGTCCTTTGTATCTCCTAATAAATTTTGTGTTTTGCTTATGTCTACTAAAACTTATTCCACTCTATGTCTAAACATAGACTCAAACTAGCAACTCCTTCGGGCCCTTCGTCCTGTTAGGTTATGCGTTGTTTTCTCAAACTTCTTGGTAAAATCTGCCATGTTTTCCTCGACCTAATCTTTTTCTTCACCCGTCTCCAGCCTTCTTCTTGCCATTTGACTATCCTCAAAATTTGCCACTTGATCCCGCCACATATATTCTGTCTGCTTTATGATTTTCAGATGCTCAGAATCATTTTTGTTTTCACGTTTTCTAAACCTTCGATTTTGCCAAAATATTCAGGCCATTTTATTCGCAGCTTCCTTTTCTTCATTTTTGTTTTTAACGAAATCTTTTTTCTGCATATTAATATTTTGCTTAGCTTTGGAAATCAGATTTTGCTATCCCAATGCACACCAATCCTAATGAAATAGTTCTAAAGAAACAAATAAATATAGCATATTAATTTAACATCATAATACCTGACTTTAATAGACACATTTTACTAGAACCTTCATTGTTGAGTGAAAATAGCTTACTAATTTCGGAGTTATGTGTCATATTGTGGATGAACATATAAACTAGTTATGTGATAAAATGTATTTTTAATTTAAAAAATATAAAGACTGGAGTGATCCATGTGAATAATCTAACATTCAAGAAAAAAATAAAATATTTTAGGTTGATGAGGATGCAATATTTAAACTTGAAAAATTTCGAATAGAAATAAAAAAAAAGTTGATAAGAAGGTCACAAAACGATATCTGAAAATATTACAAGCGCCATATGCAATCAAACTGGATTAGCCGTTAAGAAATAATTTCTACATTCTTAACATACTAAAGAGAAATGTTGCAAATCTTAAGCGTATTTACTAAGAACGAAAAACCCATCAAGATACCGTAATGAAATGAGTAACACAATGAAAAACCTCTAAGTAAATTAAAACAAATGTCTCAAAATATGATTTATAGTAAAGAATGTAGACTTATTTTATATAGACGAGATGTCCGGTCTACAAAGTAGACCTTTTCTGGAAATAGTTGAAACAACAAAAAAAAAAAAAAAAAAAAAAACAGTCTTTGTACGTAGGAAGCAATAGTCAACATTTGTGTTGCAAGCAATAAAATGGTAAGCGTGTTTACAATTTACGATTGTGCCAAGATAAATATAGACAAGTATTATAAGTTCATACATAATATTCTGATTTGTAACTGTTAACCTGTAAAGTTTAACCAGGTATTATATATACAGGGTGTGTCATAAGTTTCCATACATAAGAAAATGAAAGTGCGTTCGTATTTGAATCATCAGTTTCCGCATGCTTGGATTGGTAGGCATGGCCTGTGGGGTGGCCTCCACGATCCACAGAACCTTTCCCCCTTGATTTCTATCTTCGGGAGCACTTGAGGGCCATGGTGTATCAGATGAAGTTATGAGGCATAAATCACCTCAAGGAACATAACACTAACGCCATTACAAGCATAACTTCAACTGTGCTAATGCGTATTCATCAACAGTGGGAAGCACACGTGTTTTCGAAAGAATGGGAATTATATAGAGCACATTATATAAATAAAACGGTTTAAATGGTTTTTTTTCTATGTATGGAAAATTATGGTCCACCCTGTAAGTATTATTTACTAGGAAGCATGGCCCGGCGTTGCCTGTGCTTGATTCAAAAATCGTTCGACTCATACAGCAATCACTTGACTTAAAATATTTTTGCCCTTCTTGCCTTTAAAGGAGCGCCCTATGCCGTGCTGATGTTGCTACATGCCTTACTTCTTACCTATCTCACACTGCGAATTGTTTTTATGCTCTATACTAAACATTAAATCTGTTACAAAAAAGAAGTAAACAAAATGAACACAAAACGATCAGCTTTAAAAAAAGGACTCGTAACTGGAAAAACCGAATGAATAAAGAATGTTAACAACAAATACTTTTTCACACCCAACACAGTTCTGCGGAATCAGAATCAATGTTGAGTTTAATCAAGCGAATGAGCCAATTGGTGTAAAGTGCCATGCAGATTTAAATTTTTCCCACTTGTGACGAATGCAGTTATTTTTATTTATTTTTTTTTTTTGCATGTTAGCATGCTAGTTAACATTTATGTCAGTCAGTTGTTGGCTCTCACGCTGGCCAGTAGAATCTCCCTGCCTATTCGTGGCAGCCAGCTATAGGCTCTTACTCTGGACAGTACAAAAGGGCCGCAAACAACATGAAAAATGCCGTAGAAGCATGAAAGTATCGAAGGGAATTAGGAAATGCAATGTCGGTCTTGGCCTTCCCGCTAACTTGGAGCATGGGCATGGAAATTTTGGTACAAATCCGTCGAAAATTGCGGCCGTGCATTCGTTACACACACACACACACACACACACACACACACACACACACACACACACACACACAGACATCCTGCCTTTTATATAGAGAGAGCTTAACAAACACCTAAAAAATCGGCATTACAAATTCCAGTAATAATTATTAGGTCATAAAAAACCTGTACTTATGATATATTTCAATTTATTAAACCTCAACGTTTCTAAAATTGGACAGAGGACAATAAAGGAATATATGAGTGCATATTGAAGTAAGTATATTGTTTTTCATATTCTGCAAAACAGGTTACTGTCACCATGTAAAAAATGGTTTCAAGTACACAACATTAAAGCAATGTCAGCTAGATTTTCAGACATCAATCTGTGGCTTACCAACTTTGGATCCGTCAAAAGTTCCCGTTAGGTGGAGTCTATAAAAAGGCAAAAGTTTTTTCATCTTTGCGATATCTTCGTCTTGCTTTCAGATATAATCGCATGTGGGTGAAGTAAACCCGCCGGTGCTCGTTCATTTTCGTGATCCTCTTGTACATCCTGAAACATACACACATGCATCACACACGTTCAATTTCTAATGTAAAAACGCACACGTGCGCACCTACCCACAGTCAACAATCACACACTAATAGTTGTTTCATTAAATATTCCTTTCGTTTCAATTGTGTACACATGCAATTTACTTAATGCATGCATATAATGTGCGTTTGTTATAAATTTTATCGGTTTGTGTTATTAATTTTTTTTATCTGGACACACATGAGTTTGCGATACAAATATTTTAATAACCTACTACTACAAAATTTCCCCACTACCGTCAATAGTGTCATACCGTACAAGAAAGTATATATATATATATATATATATATATATATATATATATATATATATATATATATATATATATAAACCTCCAACCTTATAGTTAGAAATAATAATTCACCTCTTAGAACAAAATTATATAAAACAACTATTATTTACGAATTTATATATTCTTTAAAGAATTGTATTCATGATCAATCAAATTTCAGAAACAATTTTATAGGCCATACTACAATATATATTACACGAACACTCACACTACATTTTTCTGGCCATAGCTCAATTAGGACTTATTTAAATACTCATGGGGCCCTACTAGACTCTATTCGTAACATACTTGTTGACAACACATATATATTTGAATCAACAATATGTGAAAAAAAGGCTAAAAATAAAGGAAGCCTTATTAATAAAAACAAAATAAACAACACTCAATAATATCAACTATAAACATTGACACAATATCTTGTCCGTGTTTTAAAAATGAAAACATTATATAAACACATACATGCAGAAATCTATTTCTTGTTCACAGTTAATATATTTTAACCTTGAATCTGGCTAAATGTATAGCGGAAAGCGCTCGGAAAGTATGAACAACTGGACAGTCTTTAAATAATTTATCATCAGAAAAGGAAAAAAAAAATATAAGATCACATGAGAAATTGCATAAATAACTAAATCAAACCACCTTGTTTATCGTATTCAATGAAACGTGCATGAAAGAAGGATTGCTGCCTAAATGCAGAAATATATATATATATATATATATATATATATATATATATATATATATATATATACACATATGTCTGTGTGTGTGCGTATGTAGTGATAGAGAAATATATTTAAACAAAGAAGATATCTTGAACGCAAATCAGATATACCGATACGAATAATAATAATATAATTTAACGAGTTATTTGCTCAGAATAAAGAGATCCGTTTGGATACGTGTTTTCGCTTCAAAAGTTACGACATACATTCATATTCTGAAAGGCGTCATTTCGCTACATCTTTCTATGTAATTCGTGTGTGGATTGTGAATTTTAAGTCTATTTAAAATATATGCGACAATGTATTTAAATGAGATTCATTGTCGCAAGAAAACGAAGAATATATTTTATAAGTACAAAAACGTCTGTGCTATTTATTGAGATGATGCCATGGCCGAGGATACTTGTCGTAAGACGCTCTCTAGAAGCAGAAATGGAAATTTTGACGTAGTATCAGAACATGCCGGTAGGTCTGTAGTTATTGTTTATGACCAGATCAAAACGCTGATCGAAAGATAAGCCAGATCAGCAGGCACGGGCAGCTCAGATATACTCTTCATATTTAATGTCAGTGTTATAAACCATATGGAAATAAGTGACGAATGTTAGGGGAAATTCAGTAAAAACACGTCAAATAAACACTCTTTACATAATATACTTAAAGACACAGGAATGTGGTTCTATAAAAAGGATGCTGAAGAATCTAGGGACTGAACAGTTGAGCAGCAAAAGAAGTTCTAGAACAAATAGAAACGAAAAGGAAACTTATGCTGTTTTTTTTTTTTTTTTTAATCGGTGTCATCCCATGCAAGATAGTAATGCCACTAAGATACAAGGCGTTACCGGTTGCGGACGAATTAGGAACAGAAACATTAAAAATTGAGCGGGAATAGAAAAGTTTAACCAGGACAGTAGATAGCAATTTTCGTTGCATTTAAAATGTTGCAGATTAAAGGTGTCTGGAAAGCATGGAACCA